GCAAGAATCTGACACTCCCTCCCGCCTCACTCAGACGGGAGAAGTCATTCGATGTTCACCCCTTAAAAAAATACTATACTAATATAACAAAACAACTGAATTTGTTTGTTTTTACGCGCTAATCTCCGGCAGCACTGTAGTGTTTAATGTTAGACAGTCCATTCATCGAGGTTGGATATAGGCTTTAATTTAAAGGCTATAGTAGCACGGAGTCTGGTATTGTGCCCGGTATATGGCAATATGCTCACCCCCTATTACATGGGACTCATAACATAAATATTTAAAAGTGGGTGTTACATTGTACAGTGGTATTAAGTTTTTTTTATGAAATAGGAGGCAAACGAGCATACGAATCACCTGATGGTAAGCGATCAGCGCCGCCCATGGACACCCGCAACACCAGAGAAGTCACAAGTGCGTTACCGGCCTTTTTAAAAGGAATGCGCTCTTTTCTTGAAGGTTTGAATTTCGTAATGGTTCGGAAATACCGCCGACGACAGATCATTCACAGTTTTGCAAATGCCGTATTGTACCTACACCTTTACCTACCCCTTCGGGGATAAAAGGCGTGATGTTATGTTTGTTAGGCTATAAAACATCACGGTGCGATCAATAGGAGACGAGCAGTCGATGAACTAGCGCGGGTCCAGCTAATAGTCTACCTTTAAAAAGTATTTACCCTGTCTATGCCTATGTACCTATGTATAGATCTATCTTTGAAACTTCGTGACGGATTGTGACGCAATTTTTTTAATAGATAAAGTCGTTCAAGAGTTGAGATTATTGATACCTATTTATAATTAAGGCGTTCGAAGCCACAAATAATACTAAATAATACCTAATTTTTAAAAAAAATCATGATCAACACAAAGTGTAGGTCCTATGTAACTTTAAAAAAAGAAAAGATACGTATACCTAGTTGTGTAGATGCTGTTTTTTTTTAATTTTATATTTAATAAAAATTTTGAAAACATTACAATTGACAAATACCTAAATACAAAAAAATATTACCTACCTAAATCTCTTTACCTATTTATCAGGTACCTACGTACATTAAATCAATCAACAAGAAATAACAATAAGTATATACCTACCATAAATACAAAATATTAAAAACAAAACGAAAAAAAAGGTTTGCAAAAATAAATCTAATCTATGAAGATTACGTACGATATACCTACGTACAAAGGTAGGTAGTAGGTACTTGAGCTTTTAATAATCGTAGATAAACTTACCCAATTCTGCGGAACCAAAATACTGAAATAAAATCAATAACAGTCCTCACAAAAGCTAATAATGATAAAACAACACCGATATTGTAACTATTACCGTCATATTTAATACTTTAGATCCATTTTAGGTTATTAAACTGTTATTTACTAGTATATAATTGTAAATTTTGTATGAAATCAAATAAATCGTATTATTTTTAGCCACCGGGACGCGTCTTACAAACTTATTCTATTCCTATCGACTGAACTGAAACCCTGAAGTAAAGCACTGAAATCGGTGTTACAAGATTGGAAAATTATTATTTAGAGTTTGATATTTTTGTAACTTTGAAAGAACGAATATTAAAACTTTTCGACATTCTTGGTTTTTTTAGATTAAAATAAAGTACTTACAATAGAAAATTTTAACATTTGTAATGAAAGTAAATTACTATAATACATAGCGACCTTTATAAACACGTTTGGTTACATCAAATATTGTCGCGTTCCAAACGCACTTAGTCGATATTTTTAGCATAAGAACTTATAAGTTTATTATGAAAATTGTGAGTATAAAGGTAGTTATTTTATGGTCGGTATATCGTGGGTGCGTTTACAAATATACAAGTTCACATACACAATGACACCCAGACCCGAAACAACAATTTGTGGATCACACTGTTGTCCCGTGCGGGAATCGAACCCGCGACACGTTGCACGGCAGCCGGTTGCCCAGCCACCGCACCGACTGTGCAAGATATTATATAAATTTTGGTCAAAGTGAAATAATTGTCTGTTAAAATTTCCAAAGAAACACCAACAACAGTCCAGATATGTTTATAATTAATAAAAATATAGAATATTAAACTTACAAGCTACCAAAGAATACAATGTCAGGTTTTCAACACTGGGTAGTTTTGTCAGTCAAAAATAAATAATCTGTTCCAAGTTTTAACAATATATAGAATACTGTCTATAAAAAAAAATTATAACACATTCTGACATTAATATAAAAATATAGGTACTTAGTTTTACTTTTTTCTACTATACAGGATGTAAGTAGAACATTACCGAAACACTGACATAAAGAACTTTTTTACAATTATTATTACAATTGTTTTTGGTTTGGTGGAGCATTGTCAGCATTTTTCGGGAGTGTTCCGTTTACATTCTATATAGTGCAAAACACAAATATGATGTAATATAAAAATCATCTATATTATTGTTCTAAATGTATAGCTTTTGACATTTCGTAAAAAGTATTGAATTTGGTTAGTCGGAAACTAGATAATTTATTCAATTTTTACATAAGTATCGTATCTATTCAAATACACTTTTCTATATTGTCAGTTTTTTAAGTTCAAACTTTATAACATTTAATATTATTTTACAATCCCTTAATGTACATTTCTATAAGGCTCATACAATTTTAAAACTGATTCTGAACAAATATTATTAGTTACATAAAATGCATTAATAAAAATAACATACGCATCATTTTTGACATCAACAGCATTAATACAATAGCATCCATATTTAAATTCTATTTTTTATACAAAACACTTTATGTTCCTCTTTTGGCATTACAAAGTTACAATTTCCCGCCAAAAATTTTTCATGCTGCCATAGAGATATTTGGGCATTTTGTTTTTTTAAAAGCATATTCAGCCTACAAGCAAGACCTCCTTTCTTATATTTTAGCTTTTTATTTTTCTCAAAATAAGTTGATGTATCAGAGTTACTTGAATTTTCTTGTTTTATTATTGGGACATTTGTTAAGGTTTGTGTCTTACAACTTAATATTTCTATTGAGTCACTTTTTGAACACTCTTCAGGAGTTGGTGTATCACTTATATGCTGTGAAGCACTGTCTGAGCTAAAATGACTATTGAAATAATTCTTGACATTATTTAGGATCAAACTTTTAAGTGAAGACCTGCTCTCTTCATTTATTGTTTTATCTATACTAAAATCATTTGATTGTAAGTCTGTCGGCTGAATGGAAATTCCTGAGCCATCTCTGTCTGGTATTTTTGGACTATCATCTTGTTGATTTCCAATATTCATAGACAAAATTTTATCTTCACTATATGCTAACTTTTTTCTAGATTTATTTGAATATCTAGGCGATTGATTTTTCTGCATTAATATAGGGCTCTTTGGCTGTACAGTTTTAATACCAAGTATAGGTGACGTTGATTTTTTTGGCGGTAACTTTGTCGAGGTTAGAATTGGGGACACAGGACATTGCATACATTTTTCCATTAAAATTGGTGATTTTTCTCTATAGTCAATATTTTTAGGTGCATCTATGATTGTTACGTCTAAGTTAGATAGGTTTTTAGGCAGTTTTTTCTTACGTTTTCGTTTTCTCGATGTTTTTAGATTGTTATTTTTATTGCACTGTTGTTCACTATATGAACTGTTGTCGTAATCACTTGAGGAACTTGATGACCACCTTATGACTTCCTCTTTGCGTTCCTGTGAGTTCAAAAGATTAAATTTCTCTAAAAATATATTTTCTTTGTGTCGCGACATGGTAAATTAAAATATCACAGAAATCAGAGAACTGAGAAACCGTACAACCGTTTTACACAACGTCAGGTGACGTCAGGCAGGCATTGACATTTGACAAGCGAGAACGGCTGTCTTATCCTGTCAATAGCTATTGTCAACGTCAAATTTGACAACCAACAATGTTGCAAACTAATAAAATCTGAATTTTTGATATTATTATTTTAATCTTATCGTAGATTAGCTACTTCCGCGCGGTTTCACACGTTCTGAAGGATGAGGACACATTGTAAAGACGAATTGGAACAAGAATTCCGAGTATACATTTTTCGAACCTATGCTCAATTTTATTTGCGCTATAACGGCGATAGAAGCGAAAATGATATCATGGAAGAATTAGCCAGAGTACCTCTCATCAAAGTACCTGATGGTGAACTATTTTCGAAATTAGTCAAACAAAATTAATCTTATGCGTTGAAAAAATGCTACTTTACCGTTGCACAGAAAAACTTGTGAAGGAGAAACACTATTTCATTGATTTCCTGACCGCACACCGACGCAATCGCTTAAAAAAGTTAATAATAATATTATGTAGGTATAATTATATTGATCTATAATAGCAGTATACTTAGAGCATTTTATAATTCTAGAGTGTCTGTGCGAACACCAATTCTTAAATTATAATTCTATTACAAAACTCTTATAATATTATATAAAACGGAAGAGTTTGATTTTTGTTTGTTTGAACGCGCTAATCTCCGTAACTACATTATTTTTTTGGTGGATAGCACATTTATCGAGGATGGCTATAGGCTATAAAACATCACACTACGACTAATAGGAGCTGAGCAGAGCGTGTGAAACCGCGCGGAAGTAGCTTGTATATCAGTGTACCTAGGAAGGACGTGTAGACGCGATGTCAGTACGACGAGTATTTTATAATATAAACTTACCTTGAATACAAGCTACTTTTAAAAAAACAATTGAGATATATATTTAAACAGTAATTTGATAAATCATATTTTATTGACTTAAAAGCCTGGTGCTTAAATTGGTAATCTCAGAAAACATCTATATCATCCGCCATGTTATTTAGCTAACTTCACATTGGTGTGCTCTCCAAAACAAATACGTGACTGCGTCGTGCGATCCATTGTTTATCGTCCATAAAAACAAAATAAACGTGACCCACATTTTTGTGCGAGTCCTATCAGAGTCTAATTCGAGTTATTTGCAGGCATTTAATCTCGATTTATATTACTAAATCATATCGTAATGGAAGTCGAGCGATTCGCTTCCGATTCTGAGAACGTGGCGGTGGACGATAACGAAAAGCCGGTTGTAGACGAAGGCGCCGGAGATGCGGCGACTTCCCACTCGGAGCGTCTGCGACGCAAAAATAAGAAGTACTGGCGCTCTAACAGCAAGGAGGGCCCGGTGAATGCGACGGCTGTGACGCCGTTACCTAAGTACAGGAGCTGGAAAAACAGCCGTAGACCACGCAACGGGCATGGAAGAGGCCTGCCGAAGAAAGGTAGGCGCCACCACGCCTTCTATTACTTACATCTTAATTAACAATTCCCTTGTCGAACCGGTTGTTTTGAAACTTCTAGAAAATATACGCCATGAATAGAGTTGCATGCGGGATAATTTACGTAATGTTAATGTTTACTACGGCGACGGGGCCCGCGTTATATATCTTTATATATAGGGCACCCGGGCCGTCGAAGGTCACGTAGTCACTTTTGCGCAGTTTCGTGTTGGTATTATTATTACTTTAGGTTTGTTATCGAACAGTGCCCGGCGTTAGGTATTACGCAACGTCACAATATAAACAAGTTTGGTAGCGTAGGTATGTTGTATGCATAACATGGTGACTATTTTTATCGCGATCTCGCCAAGTCGCCACGGTTTTTAATTAGAATCGTATTAGGTGACGCTATGAGACGTACAGGCTGCTGTATTTTTGTAGTTTTGTTATTGTTTATGTTTTATAAAAACCGGATTCTATGTTGTTTGTGGACACGTGGTGTTTCCGGACGAAGAAATAATTATTATTGTCTATTGTTTTTGCGCGTCGAGTGTGACCTTGACCGAGGAGATTTTCAATTCAAGGTTGACGAAAAATCAATAAACGTTTGAATTTTTGTATTTATAGGTGCCTTGTTGTAGATAGATAGGAAATATTTTTTTAAATGCTTGGTCGAAGTTTTATCGACCGCGTGGTTTTATTTTAGGTTATTTTATTTTTGTTTATTGGATCTTATTCCTATTTTGATCGAACATAAAGGTGTAATAGATAAACTACGTACCTAATAGATTACTAGAATATTATTTAATCAACAATGGTAGTCTATGGACCACGCTTAGGTACATGCTATCATGCATGTTGGTGATAGCAAAGGTTTTAAATAAATTAAAAGTTTGTTTTTACAGTAAGAAAATTAACAAAATATGTAGCTATAACACTTTTTGTTCTTATTTATATAGATATTGGAAAGAAATGCATCAACTATAGGTACTGAAATAAAACCTTTTTTTTATGATTGGGCTGTGCACAATTTTCAAAGAAACTATAAATCTATGGATCAATTTTTTTTTAATTTGATGAAGTCATCGGTTTTATCCATTTTAACCGACTTCTCAAAAAGATAAAGGTTCTTAATTCGTGTATATGTTTTTTATAAAAATAAAAAGGCAAGTTATATTATATTCATCAAAATATTACATGTTTACCAAATAACATTACTTTAAAATAAACAGATTACTGGTTTATCTTATCCATATACATAAGTAGATTATATTATACACAAAATCTGTAGCCTTGCTTTGATAAAATGGTATTTTTAATCTTATTTCTGGTGTGACAATAACAAAACATTGATTGTAAGTCTGTGTAAGTAAAGACATAAAGAACAATAATTTATTTTGCATCGGGCACTATTTACGAAAAAGAATATCCAACCGCGATAAATAAACCAGAAATATGCATAAAATACAGAACATGTTATGCATATGTTATAAAAAAAGAAACATAAAAATTGGGGTAAAATAAAAGCTCTGAAGAATTGTCTTTACTGAAAATATAAAACCTAATGTCTAAAATACTAACTTTCTGACTACTTTTGTCCGAATAAAAATGTTGAAACAACAGAATGAGATACAGAAATCTTTCAAACAAAAACATGTAGTTTATTGCTATAATTTCCTTTCCTTTCCTTAAAAACCTTTCTACCAGCATTTTTACATTCTACTGAAAACTATGCTTTGTTGTCAGTAAATTTTGTAATTTTGTAAAAAGTTCAGTATTCTATTTATTAAAAAAAGAAGGAGGTACTATGTTCGGCTGATTGTTTTTTTTTTTTTGAAGTTTATTTTTGTTATTCGAAGATCCATTTTTATAGTCGGACTCATTTCGCTAGAGATTTTTTGTTTTTTGGTACCATTATTGTTTCCTAAAAATGGAAGTCATAATGTAAAGCTTAATATTGTCCCCCGTTTGTCAAGGTGTGGGATGGAAATGAGGTTCGAATGCGCGAAAACTATAGGGAAAAGCGTTTACTGAACAATTGTCCTTATAGCTACATAAACAGAGGTTAATTTCAAATTAGTTTAATACATCTGGGTGCCTCGCGGGATAGCGATTACGCGCTCTGTTGTCATGTCGTTGGCGTGGTTTGCATTCACACCGTTAAGGGTGCATCCGAGCTTACACAATCCTTACTAATATTATAAATTGGAAAGTGAGTTAGTTTGTTTGTTTGTCTGTTCCACTTTCACGCCGTAACTACTAAACCGATTGCTTTGATTTTTTGCAGACGTGAAGTTAGAAGTCTAGATTAAATAATAGGGTACTTTTTATCCCGGAAAAGTTTGATATTCCCGAGGGAAAATAAAAGTATTGGTATAGATGGCGCTGTGTATATCGTTATATGTCACTTAGGCTACTTTTTATATTTTTGTGATGCGAGCGAAGCCGCGGGTAAAAACTAGTATTTCATAAAGGGTAGTATATAACTTGGGTGTCTTCAAGTTCCGAGTGAATAAGTTCCCAATAGGTCGACGTGCTCCATCGTAGACTGCATCATCGCTTACCACCAGGCGACATAGTGGTCAAACGTCGGCCCATCAAATATAAAAAAAATAAAGGACCCTTGTCCAACATCTGGGCCGCAACTGGGCGGTGGCGTCCTAACAGGTTCCACATTCCACCCATTCACGAAGCGTTTCGCTTAGAGTTTCCTAGTGGGAACCGCTAACGAATTGAACTCCCTGCCGGAGTCTGTGTTTCCTATAAAATACGACTTGGGTGTCTTCAAGTCTTCATAGGTTGGCGTGCTCCATCATCGCTTACCACCAGGCAAGATGGTGGCCAAACGTTAACCTATTAACATAAAAAAAATGAAAAAAAAATCTAAACCCTCGTGTTACATGGGTATGTCTACCTGCTGCTCGGCTCTTTTTTTTTGATCAAAGCTTGATTTATTATAGAATATGTCGTTCCCCGTCCCTTCAACTATCTGCACAAAAGAAAATCACCAATTGGGACTACCTACTTGCCAACTAGTCAATTTTAAACCTTTTTTCGACTTTCGAAAGCTAGTCTTGTATGAATTTGGTACGAGATTGTGTATGGTTAGGTACGTCACGTTGTTTTAGCGTCAAACAGCATACTTATTTAATTATTATGTTTTCGGCTTACTCACGTAACTGTTTGACGAGGCACTCGACTAGTTTCAAGCCATGCTAGAGGCTCATATTCATGAGCAGCATTCCGCGACCTACTGCAACCGCACAATATAAACCTCTGAAAGTGTACTAAAATTAAATTGGTCATAAAATCATAACATAATAAAACATCACGCCTTTTATCTCCGAAGGGGTAGGCAGAGGTGCACATTACGGCACTTAATGCCACTGTACACCCACTTTTCACTTGTTATTTTATGAGTGTGTGTGTGTGTGTAATAGGGGGTGAACCTATTGCCATATACCGGGCATAGTTCCAGACTCCGTGCTACTACTGAGGTTTTTACAAATCCTGTAATACTTTGCCCTACCCAGGAATCGAACCCGCCCGGCAGTCGCACTTGCGAGCACTCGGCCAATGAGTCAGTCGTAAAATCAAATAATTAAATTGTGATTATTTTGTAATATATTTTATTTGATTGTATTGAACAGTCGAAATTAAAAGTATATCTATGCTCACGATAGTTATTATAAAAAGGTTTTTTTCAGCACAAGCTGAAGGATGTTGAACAAAAGTAAAATCCAATAGTCTTGCACTTTTATTTTACTTTCTACTTCACACAGACATCATCAACATATTACAATGCTATAGACGCTAACGCCATGACAGTTTCAATAGAAAAGAACAGAATCAGTAAGCAATAGAAAAGAACACATGTCATCATATTTTGTCTCATCATATATTACACTAGCTACTTCCGCGCGGTATAACTCGCTCTGCTCGGCGCCTATTAATCGTAGCGTGATATTTTATAGCCTATAGTCTTCCTCGATAAGTGGGCTATCCAAAACAGAAAGAATTTTTCAAATCGGACCAGTAGTTTCGGAGATTAGCGTGTTCAAAAAAACAAACTCTTCAGCTTTATAATATTACTAGCTTTTACCCGCGGCACAAAAGGATAAAAAGTAGCCTATGTAACATATACCAATACAAACAGCGCCATCTATACCAATACTTTTGTTTTTCCTCGAGAATATAAAATTTTCCGGGTTAAAAAGTACCCTATTATTTAATCCGGACTTCTAACTTTACGTCTGCAAAAATTCAAAGCAATCGGTTTAGTAGTTACGGCGTGAAAGTGGAACAAACAAACAAACACACTTTTCGATTTATAATATTAAGTAAGGATAGTATAGATTGTCTATAACTCAACATTCTATTGTACTCAACACAGGCGGTGCTGGCGGCAAAGGTGTCTGGGGTGTGCCCGGCTCTGAACTGCTCGAGGAGTACGTGGAAGACGCTAATGACCCCAACTATGATTCTGAAGCCATCACCAATGGAGACGTCGAGTTCAAGCAGATCATCGTTGACGCTGAACCCGAAGAAGTTGTTGTAAGTATTAAGATTGTCATCGTTTATGAATTTATATTAAAAAATAACTGTTTTTTTATGGAATAAGCCGGTAAACGAGCAGCCGGATCACCTGATGGTAAGCAATCGGCGTCGTCCACGGACACCTGGAACACCAAAGGCGTTACAAGTGCGTTACCGGCCTTTTGGGTATTAGGAGTTTGAAGATCGTTGGGGATTCAGGAATTGGGGAGATTGGGGAAGGGGAGGGTAATTGGGCCTCCGATAACCTCACTCACACGACGAAACACAACGCAAGCGTTGTTTCACGTTGGTGTTCTGTGAGGCCGTGGTGTCACACCGGTCGAGCCGGCGCATTCGTGCCGAAGCATGGCTCTCCCGCACTTAAGCAATACAATAACATAAAATTGTTTTTAAATACCTAAGTAATCTTGCACATGTATAATAATAATTCCAAGGTTATATCACGATTGTGACAATGTTGACATTTTTAGTACTTACCGTGTGCTACGGGAATTTATACTTTATCACCTATTGTTAAAGCTCTTTATATATTGTTAGTTCTTTTGTTTATTGAGATGTTGCATATTTTTTTTATATTTGTATTGGAAAATATGTAAGTATTCGGTTTTGGCGTGGTATGGGTATTAACTCGTCGAGTACCGCAAGAAAAATTAATCAATTCGGAGTACCAGTTCTGGATATAAACGCGTTATATTAACTACTAGCTTCTGTCAGCGGCTTTGTCCACGTTCCGTTCGGGTAAAAAGTAGCCTATGTGTTATTCCAGGCTATAGTCTACTCTTGTTCCAAATTTCATTCCAATCCTTTCAGCCATTTTGACGTGATTGGATAACAAACATACAGATATTCACATCACACACTAATCACTATCACTACACAGTATAAAACAAAGTCGCTTTCTCTGTCCCTTTTTTTTTAAGGGGGGAGAATCATCGAATGACTGCTCCCGCCTGGGTGAGGCGGGAGGGAGTGTAAGACTCTTACTGACTAAAAACCACCCTGTTCCTACTCCTGCACGTCGAGCCGGAGCCCCGGTTACCCGTTAGGTTCTCCGCGACTCCGAATCGGCATCGGCCCTGTTGGGCCTCATCTGTGGTTTCTCTATCCCTATGTCCCTTTGTATGCTTAAATCTTTGAAACTACGCAACGGATTTTGATGCGGTTTTTTTAATAGATAGAGTGATTCAAGAGGAAGTTTTATATGTATGACACATGCATATTGCACCCGTGCGAAGCCGGGGCGGGTCGCTAGTATATGATAAATGTGAAAGTTTCTTTGTTTAGATATTTGTGCGTCAATCACACTGAAATTGCTGAACGGATTTTGATGAAAATTTGTGTACAGACAGGGTATGAACTGACTTAGGTGATAGGATACTTTTTATCCCGATTAAACGCTCCCATGGGATAAACAGGACTCATATTCTACGCGGACGAAGTCGCGGGCAACAGCCCGTTTATGATAGTAGTATGTTTTTTCATTTATTGTAAAACCGACGTGAAGCGACGCTTGCGTTGTGTTTCGTCGTGTGAGTGAGGTTACCGGAGGCCCAATTACCTTCCCCTTCCCCAATCTCCCCAATCCCTGAATCCCCAACGATCCTCAAATTCCTAATCCCCAAAAAGCCGGTGACGCACTTGTAACGCCTCTGGTGTTCCAGGTGTCCATGGGCGACGCCGATTGCTTACCAATTACCATCAGGTGATCCGTCTGCTCGTTTACCGGCTTATGCCATGAAAAAAAGGAAAAATCTGTTATTATTTACTTAGCATAGGACATAGCCTTCTAAACGGTATGACGTCACCTCTTGGCAACCGATCTACAGCCGGCGACCTTATCGTATGGTCGATGACCCCTGCAAGCCCTTTATACACGCAGTACGCGCGCCGCATATTTTAAGCAGTTACAAATATACTTTGTAACTAAATATAATTTTACTTTGTTTTTCCGAGTTTATCTTATTACTTACATAACATCACGCCTTTTATCCCCTAATGGGTAGGCAGAGGTGTACATTATGCCACTGTACAATGTAACACCCACTTTTCACTATTTATGTTATGAGTCCCATGTAATAGGGAGTGAGCCTATTGCCATATACCGGGCACAATTCCAGACTCCGTGCTACTACTGAGAATTGGATTGAGAATAAAACAAACAATAATAACAATGAATATGTTTTAATTAGAACAGTTTATTAACCTAACTGCTGATACCGTTATCATTATCAAAACAATGATAAGGTGTTATCAATTCAATAATACTAGCTTTCCCCGCAAAGCCAAAGTTATGACAAACTAGAATACATTTGTCACCACCCCTACTCTTCCCGCGGGTGTCGTACACCCGACTAAGGGACTACACATTAGACAGAAGCTGGGCAGCAGCGCTCTCTGATATACCTGAACCTTTTACTGTTTCTGCCTCGTACAGAAAAACTGTAGAATGATCTGTCGTCGGCGGTATTTCCGAACCGATACGACCTTCAAACCTTCAAGAAAAGAGCGTACTCCTTTTTTAAAGGCCGGCAACGCACCTGTGACTCCTCGAGCGATCAGAGCCCCCATGGACACCATCCATGGGGCTCTGATCGCTTACCAACAGGTGATCCGTATGCTCGTTTGCCTTCGATTCCAAAAAAAGAAATATGTACCTCTGCCTACCAATTCGGGGATAAAGTGAAGTTATTATTTGTTAATGTAACTTTTTGTTTTCAGCGTAAATCTGAGCCGGTTATCTTGGAGTACTTTGAACATGGAGACACAAATGCTGCCGCAGAAGACTTCTTGGAATTCGTCACCGCTAACAGAAGTCATTTGGTAAGTTCTCTTTGGTAATTTATTTATTTTATGGTCTGCAAATGAGCTGACGGACCACCTGATGGTAAGCAATCGGCGCCGCCCATGGACACCTGGAACAGTAGAATAGTTACAAGTACGTTACCAGTTAGAACAAATTTCCGTGCGTTTAGACGCTTTTGCCATACCTATTACTGGAAGCAAGTATAACAGCTCACACATAGGACCCACTTAGTTTTTAGTAAAATTTCCGTGGTGCTTGGCGACTTTGCTTCACCCAGTTGTACAGTCTCTTTTCTTTGTGCCTTTAGGCTTTATTCACTCTGTATCCTGCAGTAATTCACCGAGGGAAGTGGACACTATCGTTTTTTTCTTCTCCTCTTATAATATCTTCTGATTCACTTCGTTGCGGAATCTAAGACAGTTACTCAAGTCCCTGGGACGCGCTGGACTTCAGTGTTCTGGTGTTTTCATGGATGTATCTACTGTAGATCCTGGCTTACAGATTTTAGGCAATCGGCGTTGCCCATGGAAACCTGGAACACCAGAGGCGTTACAAGTGCGTTACCGGCCTTTTGGGTATTAGAAATATCACACAAGGATCAAACAGATATCCTTTTCTAAATTTTAAGGAACCCCTAAGCTATGATAGGTGTTATTTAACGACATATAAGTGACGTCGAGGTACAAGTAAGGGGTTAATTTAAACAACAATGTTTACGACACAGTCGAAAACACTCGAGTATAAAAAACTTATTCTCATCAGGTTTGCGAGACAATCGTGGAGATAGCATTGGACCATAAACCGTCTCACTGCGAAATGGCATCGTTCCTGATCTCAGATCTCTATGGAAGAGTCTTCTCCGCAAAGGATATCGGCATCGGTGAGTGCTAAGTAGTATAGAAACCATTTCTGCGATACCTAGATGGCGCCACTAGCGATAATGGAGTACTGTGTCATATAATATCAAAAATAATATTGTGATAACCAAAAACCTTAAATAATAATTATGTTATGTCGTGGTGGATCGGATTAAGACGCCCGCTTCTCATGCATGAGGGTACGGGTTCGAAACCTACCTACGGCAACAATCAATGTGACTTCCTGACTTATATGTCCTTTCTAAGATTATTTAGACACTGTTGACGTTAGAAAAATCTGCCCTGAATGTAGTAAAAAGCAAAATATATTTACATATTACAATTGGCTACTTTCCTTAATCAAAAATAAATTATTTCGACTATTCAATAAAATATTAAAAAAATAATCACAATTTCATTAATTGATTTTACGACCAATTTAATTTTAGTACTTTTCCAGCATTTTTTTAAGAAATAATAAGTATGCTGTTTGACGCTAAAAAAAGACGTGACGTCACAATACACAATCTAGTACAAAATTTATAGATACCAGTCGTTTTTGACGGTTCAAAAAAAGTATAATTTTTTTTTTATAAAACGAATAATTATTTTTATCTATTCCAGCATTTGATCGTCTCCTGGAGAAGCTACCGGACCTGATCCTGGATACTCCTGACGCGCCAGTGCTACTGTCCAACTTCATAGCTCGCTGTGTCGCTGACGATTGTCTACCACCGCGCTTCGTGCAGTCAGCCAAGGACCGACCCGACCTAAATACTCAGGCTAAGTAAGTTTTTATGACCTTATTAGCTTCTGCCATCGGGATCGCCCGCGTTCTTGTAGGATAAAAAATAGGAAATAAAATAGGTATTATATTCTACGTGGAAGAATTGGGATGATGATGGGTATGAAAATTAAAAATCTAATTAGTCCGTAAGTTAGACAATGAAAAAACATACAACATACACACATAAACATGTATTTGTAGGATCAGGGTCCGACATTATTTGAAAATAAAACAAAGGGCTTCACACAATCACTTAGTTTATTTCGAACTTACTTTCACATTAATTTTTAATTATAATAATTGAATAATTCAGCACTGATTATATAAAGGAAACACTCAAATAAAACCAACAATAAAATTACTCAGCGATTGCGTAACGTGTGAACTGGGCAACGATCGACGAACGACTGCCTCGAGCTTGCGCTTGCGCTGCTTTATATATCACTCGGTGGTGGGGTTGAAGTGACGTCAGTTGTTTGTTCACAGCTTGCAATAATGACGGCGGCGCCGTCACGGCCATACTGACGTACGCTCGTCCTCGAGCGTTTTCCGAGCATCTGGGAATAAGATAACAACCCGTTCGTTCATCCTGACATTTCTAATCCTCTATCTAGTATAACCTTTAACAAAAGCTTTCAATATTGTGCGGGTTCGGTTAACCCTTCAGCTTACCATAACTACTACGTTATCATCACTCATCAGTATTAGAACTGGAGACGATTGTGCTAGGCCGGATAAATATCCCTTTAGCGCATGTTAGACTGGACATCAGTCCCTTTAGCGTATGCTAGACCGGACATCAGTCCCTTTAGCGAATGCTAGACTGGACATCAGTCCCTTTAGCGAATGCTAGACTGGACATCAGTCCCTTTAGCGAATGCTAGACTGGACATCAGTCCCTTTAGCGAATGCTAGACTGGACATCAGTCCCTTTAGCGAATGCTAGACTAGACATCAGTCCCTTTAGCGAATGCTAGACTGGACATCAGTCCCTTTAGCTGAGTCATTGGACCGGATTTTCCCTTCAATGACTCTTTCCTACATTTTTCTTGTTACTTTATTTTTTTTTTTTTTTCACTTTCTTTTTTTTTCTTCTTTTTTTTAATTTCATAAATAAGTAATCAGTTACAACACTCATTCACTCTGGTAAATCTGATGATGGACTTTCCATACTATTACTAATAGCGCTAGGTACGTGAACTAGCCGATACAGTGCTGCCATTAACAGATATAGTGTCGCTATTAACAGATATAGTGTCGCTATTAACAGATATAGTGTCGCTATCGGAGAGTTCATCCTCAGCATCATCAATCACAGCTATGTCACACAGTATATTATTACCGCGATCATGGAGTTTCATGGACAAAATCACTCTGGCTATCATCCGCCGTCACGCCATCATCATAACTTTCGGCTATTTCTATAAAACCTAATGGACCGCGGGGTACCTCGCTTGAAAGTTCTCATGGGCGACCTTATACGTTCGATTAGAACCATTAACGAGTTTCAATTCGTACCTATCGTTTTCTAATAATCAGAGATTTTGTAGGGACCTTTATACTTTGGATTTACAGTTAAAAGTTTAAAAAGTTACGACGTTTCAGTAGCAAAATCAATAACCAGAAAACTTTTAGACACACTGACGTTTCACAATCTCACAAGATTATTATTCTACCAAGCAACCCAAAGCATTTAAACTTTACAAGTGATCACGGCTGTGTATAGCCCAGTAACTCACAGCTACTCTTTTCTAACGCGAAACTTACAGGACACAAGAAAACGTGAACGAGAGAGACAAGAAACATCTATCTGCGGAGTATCTCTAAAGGATCGAATCAGAGACAAGATAATCTGACAGATAACCAAACATTTAATCTTACAAACTGAAACTGCATAAAATCAATACGATACTAACTAACGTCACACAGACCAGTTACCAACCAGGCAATTCACCAATCAGATGCATTGCCACACATGCGGATTACCACACAGGCCCATCGCTACATGATCCTCATGAATGCGGTCTGGTGTGTGAAGACCCATAGCCACAAGTTCCTCATGGGTGCGGTGAGAGTACGAGTGCGTGAATATGATGTAAGTGTGGGTATTTTTTTTTTTTTGATGGGACAAGCCCGCCACAATCTCCCAAAACCGCTGCAACTCCTGTAAGCCAGGATCTACAGTAGATACAACCATGAAAACACCGGAACATTGAAGTCCGGCGCGTCCCAGGGACATGAGTAACTGTCTTGGTTCCCGCAACGAAGTGAATCAGAAGATATTATAAGAGGAGAAGAAGAAAAAACTATAGTTTCCACTTCCCTCGGTGAATATTACTGCAGGAGACAGAATAAATTAAGCCTGAAGGCACAAAGAAGAGACCGTACAACTGGGTGTAGTTATCTAGGCAACAAACCAGTGATCAAGGAGCTGGTCTTAAATCCTTGACGCCGGATGTCTCTTTAAACACTTTATCTTTCTATATGTGTTCGATCCACCAAAAAAAAATTAAAAATGAAGTGTGGGTATGTGAGTTATAGGTGTTGAGTGCAACTCATGACATTGACACTTTATAAAATTCTCAAAGAACCTGGTGATCAGATATTCTCCTCATCCTTAGTCCTCAGATCTACTGTATGTCAATTTCATCTGTTACAATTAAATTACTCGACATTTTACGTAACTTATAGGCGCTGCGATAGACATTTTTTGTAAGACGCATTATAATAATGAAATGCAGAGTCTCGTTACTCCGCGTTTTCTCTATTAGACAAAACCCGACTTTACTACATCTGGAATAACCACCGAACAGCCTATCTACTCACTACAACGCACTTAGCGAAAACATATCTCAAGGTCCTTTAAATAAAAAAAATGATCAACAGCCATCAAGATTTTCAAGGTAACCACAATTTATACACTACGCAAGTGTGGATAGTCACTCCAGTATTCCAGTCACAAGTCAGCCACGACTGTAGTTTCATTATATGGACTCGAGTCCCTGCCCCAGTAACGACTATGACTAGCACACACGATATAGTAGAATAAATGAAAAGTTTTACCCTTACAATTACTAACTCACTAGGTACTGAAAGGCCCTAATTATAATAAATCCTAATGGCAAGATCAAGGGAAGCATGTTTCTCATCAGAGTTTTCTTAGCGCTTTAACTATTTTCCAACCCAACAATAATCCTAAATGAATGTAGGACTTTAGAGGACTCTTCAATTCTGTCTTTAACTACCAATTATTATTAGCAGCTTTTGACCTTTATTTGTTATAAACTACTTTTCTCAATAGTCTGTACCGCGTTAGACAGCAAGCACCACTTAATTCTGCATCTACCTCGCGGAAACCATACCTCGCAAGTTCCAACCAAATGAAAGCCTAAGACTACTTGAGATATTACCTAACAATACACAACACAAAATAACACTATCAGACGTAATTCTAATGACCATGTATAATCTCGGATCTAAAACATCACAGCTATTTTCTTTAAATAACTACCCGACAAAAAAAAATAAAATTTCAAATTGGAAAACTAACAATTGTAAACTCAAGTCTTTGACTCGTTTTTGACCCATATGGTATCGGAATCATAATAAATGGAACAAAGTCACCTGGTATAATCCCGATGGAAGCAGTGTCCAATTGCAGACATCAACACGCCGCTCACCAAACGCTGCGTGAACACCGCGTATCTTACGCTGTCACTGGTCGCCAATGTACTCCGGCTTGAATTGGGACCACGTCATGTCTTCATTTACTGCTTCAGATAGCGATTCAGTTCGAAGTAGCTGCCTCAACGTTAGCCACGTGGAATCTTCACTACCGAATAGCTAGCTATGTATAGCTAAGCACTTCCAATCTTGCAGCACTATCTTCTTCGTCGCATTTGCATGTAGGTAGTTCTTCACGAACCGGCTCCGATAATTTTAACATTTTCAATAATCCCGGTCCATCCCACTTCTGATGTAGGATCAGGGTCCGACATTATTTGAAAATAAAACAAAGGGCTTCACACAATCACTTAGTTTATTTCGAACTTACTTTCACATTAATTTTTAATTATAATAATTGAATAATTCAGCACTGATTATATAAAGGAAACACTCAAATAAAACCAACAATAAAATTACTCAGCGATTGCGTAACGTGTGAACTGGGCAACGATCGACGAACGACTGCCTCGAGCTTGCGCTTGCGCTGCTTTATATATCACTCGGTGGTGGGGTTGAAGTGACGTCAGTTGTTTGTTCACAGCTTGCAATAATGACGGCGGCGCCGTCATATTTTTTATTTTATTTATTTATTTAAGGACAACCAACAAAGCATACACCAAAATACATGATAGGTTATTTTAACATATTTTAACACTCTATAGTGTAGCCTTATTTAAAGGCTGCCACGACATGCATTATAAAAAAACAGGATATTACAACAAAAAAAAAAACAAAATGTTCGCTTATCAAAAAAAAAAAAGACATCATGTTAAATTTAAATTTTTACTTCTTTTGTCGTATAATAAAACAATACTTAGATAAAAAGAATCAAAGTTTAGGAGTGGGGGCTAAAACGTCATTCCTACGTATAAAATGTACATAGAAGTGACGTCACGCGACATTTCAAATCAATATATCGTGGAAAGTATTCGTTTCTGTAAGAAAATAAAAAATGATCTGCCAGACGGTCATTAAAATGAAATTTAGGCATCTACCCTATTCGCAGGCTACAATTAGTTTCATAATATTATAAGAAAGATTAGCGTCTTGTATTGAAGGAAGTCATTCATGTGGAATATTGACTTAATATATTTGTTGTTTCAGACAAGCTATACATAGGGCTGAAACGTTGCTATCCATGAAACAAGGCATGGTGCGACTGGACAACATATGGGGCGTTGGAGGTGGCATCAGGTAAAGCATTTTATTTGTAACTAGCGACCCTCCCTTACTTAACCCTTTGAGTCCCGTCATTATAGACACAATTAAAGAACAATAGGTTGCGGTCACCGGTGTCCTCGCGGTGTTTGACAGTTTAAGAATCACTCAATCTATTTAAAAAAACCGCATCAAAATCCGTTGCGTAGTTTTAAAGATCTAAGCATACATAGGGACAGACAGACGGCGGATAGCGACTTTGTTTTATACTATGTAGTGATCTAATGTAAAGTGGAATGAGTCCACAAACAGAAATTTTTTCTTCTCTTATAATCTTATAAACAATTCGGAGAGACCTCCAAGGCATTTTGGCATATCTTAGAAAACTACTAATACTAAAACTACTAATGTTATTTGTCCTCAGACCGGTGAAGTCCCTGATCCGTCAGATCCAGTTACTACTGAAGGAGTACCTGACGTCGAGTGACCTCGCTGAAGCCATGAGATGTGTCAGAGAGCTGGAAGTACCACATTTCCACCATGAATTAGTTTATGAGGTAATAAATCTTAATCCTTACTAATATTATAAATCGGAAAGTGAGTTAGTTTGTTTGTTTGTTTGTTCCGCTTTCACGCCGTAACTACTAAACCGATTGCTTTGAATTTTTACAGACGTAAAGTTAGAAGTCCGATTTAATTATAGGGTAATTTTTATTCCCGGGAAAAATGTGACATTCCCAAAGGAAAACTAATGTATTGGTATAGATGGCGCTGTTTATATTGGTGTATGTCACATAGGCTACTTTTTATCCTTTTGTGACGCGAGCGAAGCCGCGGGTAAAAGCTAGTATTTTATACAGCATGAAATCTATTTCGTTTTCGTCCCGCGGCAAATTAACTTGGCATGAGTAGTAGTTTCGCTGTAAAAAGTAAAAAAGAAATAATACAGATATCTTTTTTTGGAATTAACTTAACTACAACTTTTTAACTAAAAATTACGAGTTACTCACGTAAATATACTGAGAACATTACTAGAGTTGAGTCTGCCAGTAGGTTGCGGGACAACATAAAAGGCCACTACAGAAAGAACTTGCACGGATCTCACAGATAATCTTTTATACACTTTTATCTGGACTTTAAAAGAGACGGACCTCTGAGTTTGTTTCGGCATTTCTTCTCAGAGTAGTCAGTTAGGAAATGTCGACCTCATCGTTCGCTTGATAAAATTGACGTGTAAAAGTGCTGCCTTGTAGCCTATTTGCAGAAATAAATTCACTTGTTTCACTTGTATCGCTCGACCGCGCACGCTGCTCATGAGGAACAGTCCCTCTGTGACTCGAAACTAGTAGAGCTTTTCTCAGTATATTTACGTGACTGCCTCGTTGGTCTAGAGGTCGCAAGTGCCATTGCCGGGCAATGGGTCTCGGGTTCGATTCCCGAGTCTGGCAAAGTAGAACTGGATTTTTTAAAAATTCTCAGTAGTAACACGGAGTCTGGAATTGTGTCCGGTATATGGCAATAGGCTAACACCCTATTACATGGGACTCATAACGTAAATAGTGGAAAGTGGGTGTTACCTTGCACAGTGGCATAATGTGCACCTCTGCCTACCTCTTCGGGGATAAAAGGCATGATGTTATGTTATGTTATTTACGTGATTAACTCGTAATTTTTAGTTAATTCAGCATGTCTCACAATAGTTATTATAGAAATTCCCCTACCGTGTGTTTCAGACCGTCCTCCTGGCAGTGGAAGCGATAAACTCGAGTGTGGAGGACCAACTCTGTTCGTTCCTCGCTGAGCTGCACAGGTGTGTCATAGTCAGCCCCGACCAGATGGACAGGGTATGTCATACACACCTACTATATTGTATTTTTTATTTATTTACACTTCTATAACATACGATTACGGGCGGCATTCTCTAACAGTCAACCATGGGGTGATGCAGAGATGTGCAACAGTAGGTATAATAGGTATTATGATTTAAACTATGTGACACAGAATAAATCTATATAAATAAATTTAAATTGTAAATACATACATATATCCGTATATATAGGTATAATGTAAATTATATAAAATAAATTAATTGGTATACCTAGATGATTAATATTACTAAATAATAATTCTACAATAGTAAATAAATAAATTTAACAACACCGCGCACTTGAATTATTTTATAATTTAACTTTTATCTTTTAATTTTTCTGTTTTTATACTTTTTTATATTTATATGTCTTTTCTGGCGTGCATGTCTTATGCCGAATAAACTTATTTCATTTCATTTCATTCATTTCATTTCACAGTATGAGTCCCCAACTTCACTTGTAATTAGTCAAGTTAACTCGTCATAAAGTATGTCGATGATTATCCCTCCTTAAAAAAAAATTGGTTGCCTGTAAAGTCTTTAAGTTTTACGTGACAACGACTTTGAGTGGTAAAATAATGTCTCTCTCGCTCTTAGGCAGGCTAACTGTGCTCAAGTGGAAGGGACGCGTGCCTTTCACTTTTTATGTCTGTCTCTCTCGCTCTTAGGCGGGCTAACTGTGCTCGAGTGGAAGGGACGCGTGCCTTTCACTTTTTATGTCTGTCTCTCTCGCTCTTAGGCGGGCTAACTGTGCTCGAGAGGAAGGGACGCGTGCCTTTCACTTTTTATGTCTGTCTCTCTCGCTCTTAGGCGGGCTAACTGTGCTCGAGTGGAAGGGACGCGTGCCTTTCACTTTTTATGTCTGTCTCTCTCGCTCTTAGGCGGGCTAACTGTGCTCGAGTGGAAGGGACGCGTGCCTTTCACTTTTTATGTCTGTCTCTCTCGCTCTTAGGCGGGCTAACTGTGCTCGAGTGGAAGGGACGCGTGCCTTTCACTTTTTATGTCTGTCTCTCTCGCTCTTAGGCGGGCTAACTGTGCTCGAGTGGAAGGGACGCGTGACTCTCACTCGCTCTCATTGTGAGCGCATAACGTGAGCAGAGCGTAACGCAGTTTCTTGAAGTGTCACCCGGCAAACCAATTTATAAGACGTTGTCACGTCAAAAAGTGTATGGCAACGTTTAAAAAATATGTATATTGTTATCACCAGGGTTTCCTCCGCGTGCTGGAGGATATGTCGGACATAGTGCTGGACGTGCCGCTAGCGTACATCATGTTGGATCGGTTCATGGAGAAGTGTCAGCAGAAGTTCCGGCTCGGAGACGACGTGCTGAAACGGGTGCCCACCAGGTGAGGACTGTCTTGAGGAACTAATATAACATCCAGGGCATCGGCAACCGTAGGGATGTAGTTGGCGACGGCGACCTCTCGCGTCCAGCTCTGGTTCTTTACTGGACTGGGATGCCGTCTACTTCTGCAAAGCAGTCATGCTAGCTAAGGACGAGGCGGGCCGCGTGACGGAACGAATCTCCTCAAGCTCCGGCTGTCGCGAGAGACACTCCGGGCGTCGGAGATGATCTCCGGCCGCCGTAAGTGCGGGTCTGTGGACGGCGAGCATGGGTAGCTCAAAGTGCAGAAGTAGGAACGGGGTGGTTTTTAGTCAGTAAGAGTCTGACACTCCCCTCTCGCCTCACCCAGGCGGGAGAAGTCATAGAATGATTTTCCCTCCTCATAAAAAAGCACGAATAACTATAGCTCTTTCGTAACGTAATAGTATCAAGCGTGTTGGGCGCTCTGAAAGGTTGATCCACTGGAGAAACTTTCCCCTACCCTTCCTATATAAAAACTAATCAACATTAGTTATAAAATGTATCGCTATTGCTTATATATGTCAAGCAAAGAAACAGAATTTTCAACAACATTTTCTTCTTCGCAGGGGCCGCAAACGTTTTGTCTCCGAGGGCGACGGCGGCATCATCAAAGACCACGCTTTGAAACTTCGCGAGTAGACACACCGACACACGGAGCCCTACGCCAGACGCCAGCGGAGCCCTAGACCACAGACAACCCACCAGAAGAAACACGTCATCCTTACCTGAAGGTAGTCCTATACAAGTATAACAATATTATCCCTAATCCCCAAACGGCCAGCAACTCCTCTAGTGTTGCGGGTGTCCATGGGCGAAAAGGATTATCGTAATCGGTTCAGCTGTTCTCGAGATTTGCGCTTACAAAGACATTTAGCGATTCATTTTTCTATTATAGTATATAGATATTGTACAAAATAAATATTATATACCATTGTTAAACGCAGACATACTTTAACCGGTGTTATAGATACTTAGTAGAGATCGCTACTCAAGTAAAATATGATGTAATTCAGTATACTTCATGTCATGGCAAGATTTTACATAATTTGAATTGCACAGCATTTATTGGGTACTTTACTTAATCAAAGTAAATTATTTCGACTGTTCAATACAATACAATATTAAAAAACAACCACACTTTCATTAATTGATTTTATGACCAAATTTATTTGAGTATTTTTCCCGCAATTTGTAAGCAATAAGTATGCTGAATGACGCTAAAAAACGTGACGTCACAATACACAATCTCGTACAAAATTCATAGAAAACTGTCGGTTTTTACAGTTCGAAAAAAGTATTGAATTTGGAAAGTACACAATACGGTTGACAACTAGTCAAATTCAATACTTTTATCGAAACGTCAAAAATGATATTGTTCTTTGAATTTTGTACGAAATTCCATCTTATATGAGGTCATCATATTTTCGCGTCAAATAGCACTATTATCTAAAAAAAATGCTAGAATAATTCGAAACTTAAGTATATCGGCAAATCAATGAATGAAAGTGTAACTATTTTTCAATATACAATTGGACTGGTAAATCAAAATACTTAATTTATTTTTGACCCAGGAAGCTACCCAATTGATCAGCATTTATAGTCATGCAAACTAAACGTGTATACAAAATTACAGCTCAATCGATTGAAGATATCTTCTTCAAAATTCAGGTGCAAGTACTTCATAAATATGCTAGTTAAATAGTAAAATGAGAGAGATGCAAATACATTCAACAGATACGCGCATCCCTTTCTATACTTGAGCAGAGATTTCCGCTTAAGCATCGTTCTATAATACCGGCCTATATTAATTAGACGACAAACAGACACTTGTAAATGTTTACTCATATCTATGAGTCCCGTTTGTGGCCCGAAACTTGTCGAGTCATCTCGAACAGTTACGCGAGTGTCAACTTCTATATACATAGGCAAAGATGTCTATAAGAAATTGTAATTATATATAATAGTAGTGTCTGTTTGTCTGTCACGATCGAGTTCATAATACGGAAGTGTATATTTTTTTATTGAAATCTTTGATTTTTCAAAGTCTATATAATTAGGTAAATATCTCAACGTACGAGTGATGTGACACAAAAAGCAATATTTTTAACAGTAATATTTGAACTAGTCAATATTATTGAATTTATTTTTGTATAATATTATGTTCAAAATTATTAGTTGTTTTTCAATTTCTTTGTGTGATTTTTTAGCTAATTGTAATTGTCTTGTTTTCTCGTTGATTCGCATAATTATTCGATTTTTTTATATACATATATATTTATCTTTTTGGTTTTCCAAAATATGTGTGTGATGTACAGTGAAACTTGGTTAAATGGGATCTGGATAATTGAGACACCTCCATAACTGGAACTCATGCTGAGGTCCCAACACTTTGGCACTGAATTACCTCTGTTAGTGGGACGAGGTAAACCTCTATATCTGGGATTTGTTCTTTCGATTTTATCATAGTTACCTCTATAACTGAGATAACATTGTTTGTTTACTCATTCTTATTCTACCCACAAATTCCATACGTAATTCCAAGTCCTATTAATGGAACCCTCGGTAAATGAGACAGATATTTATTAATACCTGTATATCTGTGACACTGGGTAAGTGGAATACCTCTATAAGTGAAAAGATATTGCAGGTCCCTTGATGTCCCACTTAACCAGGTTTCACTGTATTTGTTTTTTCTATAAACATAATGTTCATAGTTTTACAATATTGATATTTTAAATAGTTCAGTGACTTCAGACGTGTTTCGTAACTCATAATTTGGATACATAAGTAATCTTTTAACATTCAAAGCTTACACTTATTTTCATCTTTAAGTCAGTACCATAGCGACTAAATCACTTTGAGCCTAAGTTATCTTTATATATATATATAATTCTTCTGTGAGTGTGTATGTCACTGAACTTCTCTCAAACGACTGGACCGACTTTGATGAAATTTTTTGTGTGTGTTCAAGGGTATCTGGGAACGGTTTAGATTCACAAATCAGCCAGGCAGATGGCGCTGCAGTCGGTTTCTAGGTTATTTATCTATACCTATTATTACAGGACAACGTCTGTCGGGTCCGCTAGTTTTTACAAATAACTCGCGTTTGACTAAGTGCAGGTCATATTTTAAACGCACTTTTCTTAGGTCGACCTGTGACGAACTATGTAACAAAATCTAAGAATCTGAATTACACACACTTGTAATTGTTCTATCATCGTGAAGCTTGACAATTGTGTGCAGATTATGTATGCTCCTACTCTGTAGGTGATAGCGTGATAATATGTAGCCTATATGTTGACCTAAGCCCTTACTAATATTCATGCAAAATTTTAAGTAAATCCATGCTGTACTTTTTGAATTTAGCCCGGACATACATACAGACAGAAATTCTAAAATCTCTAATTTTGGCTTCGGTATCGATTGTAGATCACGCTCCAAGTATTCTTTAGAAAAAATATTCAATGTACCTACAGTTTTTACTTTCCTACGATTTTATTACATGTATATATATTGTGGGATCTACCCCTTCCCCAATCTCCCCAATCCCTGAATCCCCATCGATCCTCAAACTCCTAATCCCCAAAAGGCCGGTAACGCACTTTTAACGCCTTTGATGTTCCAGGTGTCTAAGGGTGACGCCGATTGCTTACCATCAGGTGATCCGTCTGCTCGGTTACCGGCTTATGCCATAAAAAAAATGTAGGATTAGGATTGAAGTATTTAGTCGCTCTAGTGCTAATAATCTGTGGTTTAACTCCGCTTACGGCTAAGAAAGGCTCCAAGGACGGTGTGTTACTAAAAATGTAACATCGGTAACTTTTTTCATCTTAAACTTAGAACTTCTTTTCTTTTTCATTTCATTCAATAAAAATGAAAAATAATTAATAGTCAGCTAAATTATTCAGGTAAGTAAACAAAGATTGATTCAGTACAGAGACAGTATTATACTACAGCTATTATTATACTGAATTGTATGCTTTGTAACGAAGACATATATTTATATTGTAACTTTGGTGAGACATTCTAATTAAATTATTATGTTTTCGGCTTACTCGCGTTATAATTTGACGAGGAACTCGACTAGTTTCAAGCCATGCTAGAGGCTCATATTCATGAGCAGCATTTCGCGACCCGCGACGCGGCGACTGTCGCGCTGCTACTGGCTACTCGAGTCTGCGGGCCCAACGCCCTCTGCCGTGATTCACTAGTCGAGTTCCTCGTCAAATTATTACGTGAGTAAGCCGAAAACATGATAATTTATGAAGCCATATCTTTTGTAATCATTGATCGGCTCTAGACAACCGATGGCTACTGTCTCTGTACTGAAACAATCTATATTTTTCTTACCTACATACTGAATAACTTGGCTGACTTACAGACGACAAATGCTTAATGAAATTAAAAAGTTACTCTCTTTGGTAACTTTTTGAAATCTTGTTCTCTGGCCTACCGAGCAAATGCGCTTTTTAAAAATACAGAAAAACCTCTACATTTACCATTCAGCAGCTGTAGCCAAATGCCATTTAGCGCTTGTCTACATGTAGAATATAAAACCAAATTATATGGGATTGACGTAAATTTTGACACTTGTCAGTGTCATTCCCATACATTTTGATTTCTACTCTCTCTGTAGACAAGCGCTAAAGTGGCGTTTGGCTAAAGGCACATGTCATCCAATATGTAAACGTAGGATTATTTGATTTGCCGGTTCTTACCGACGCTGGCTCTTTATTAATAGTTTTAAAATTAGTATTAATTAACGGTATCGGTTTCAACGATACGGGCAGGGTTTTTCAACGGTATGGAACAGGTTTTTCGTTTCATACAGGTAAACCTGCCGTGACATGCCGTCTGTACAAAATTGTACAACATTATTTTTTTTTTAGTTTTTTTTTAAGCAAGTGCGAAGGGACTGCCTTTAAATATATTCGCACTAAGTTTTATTCTCTCCTTATTTTTGTATACATAGTTATTATTATTTTTAATTTTACTATTATTATTATTAAATAGTACAACGTGTATTGTGAGTGTTCAAAAATTTTTGAGTTTTTCTTATGACTGAAGTACATGTTTTAACAGCTTTTTGCGAATGCATTTGGTGTTGTTTTGTTTTGTTTTTACCGGTTTATTTAGCGTGATGGTACACGGACAATAAGTGATACATAATAATGTGTTTAATATGTTAACTGCCTCGTTGGCCGAGTGGTCGCAAGTGCGACTGCCGGGCAAGGGGTCTCCGGTTCGACTCCCGGGTCGGGCAAAGTATTACTGGGTTTATTTTAAATCTCAGTTGTAGCACGGAGTCTGGAAATATGCCCGGTATATGGCAATAGGCACACCCTCTATTACATGGGACTCATAACATAAATAGTGAAAAGTGGGTGTTACCTCTGTGTGCACCTCTGCCTTGCCCACCTCTAAACGGTGTCAATGAGCTGTATTCTACCAATCAAGGCATTTACGTTTGATATCCATAGTGACGGTGGTTGTGGAAATAATTAGATTATATTGTATGGTCATCAAGATTAAGAGTGTGTACCAAATATCAGATCGATCTGTCGTCAGGAAGGGGGGGGGGGGGAATTACAATTACTAAAGACGCAAACAGTAAACGGGACAAACTAAAATAAAACCCT